TGCCTCCGTGCTTTCAGGTCTGAATGGGTGGATGGGCGGTGTGAGACGCACGAGAATGCAAGCAGTCAGTGTGCTAAAGACTAGCACGTGGATGGAAGGCCGCGATACTCAGCCGATGATTGTGTGAGGTGAAACATTGCTTTTACATTGCATCCTTGCTTCGAGTGCACTGCTTGCTTCACCTGCATCAGCCGCATGACATCAGCAGCATAAGGGGCACAGCTCACCTGCATGAACGCCTTAGTGCCTCTACGCACATACTCAGAGCTCACCTGCATGAGGGGCAGGGCTCACCTGCATGAGGGGCAGGGCTCACCTGCATGAACGCCTGAAACACGTCGCGCTGCTCCTCCTCTGCGATGCCACACCCCGTGTCCTCACATGTCAGCAGCACCACACACTGCCTCTCAGCATCCTCCTCCACCCCTGTGCACTCTCCTCTGCCCCGCCCGCACCACCACGTCTCCACTGCTCCCCTCCACCAGCCCACACCACCACCCCGTGGTGCTGTCCTCCCTGCTTCACTCACAGCATCCTCCCCATGCGCTCTTGTTCCTGCACAATAGGACATGACCCCACTCCCCTACGCCCACCCTCCTCCTCATCTCCCGCACCCAAGGATGCAGCACTACCCCTGCCTTCACTCAACTCAATGCACACCCTCTCGCCTCTGCTTCCGCCTCCCACCACCCTCTCGCCCCACACGCTTACCCTCTCCTCCCCCTCCTCCCTCTCCTCCCCCTCCTCTCCCCCCCTTCCCCTCGCTCTCCCCCTTCCCCTCGTTCTCCTCCTGCTCCGGCCCCCCCTCCTGCACCTGGGGCATGCGCCAGTAGCACCCAAGGCACTGCACAGACAAGCTTCTCTGGAGCACCCGTTTATTGCATGCGCCCGTCACCGCCCTCGCCAGCCCTTGCTGCCCCACCTGCTCCCAGAACGACATCTTAAGAAGTGGTTATCCCACTTCGTTCCGATGCACAGCCGCACTGGCAACATCAGCAGTGGTAACAACAGCAGCGGCAGCATCAAGGTTGTCAGCAGCAGCAGCAGCAGCAGGCAAGGAGCAGCCGGGGGTGGGTTGAGCGAGGAAGCAGCCGAGGGAGAGCAGGTGGGTGAGGATGTGGGTGTACGGGGGAAGGCACTGCAGCCGCACACACACGCTTCCGCTGGCCGTGAAATTTATGGCGTTGTCTGGGGGGGGGGCAGTTTGCAGAACGAATAGTGGAGAATGGTGAAGTGAAGGTGAATGGGGTGTAGTGCATCAGAAGTCCAATTTGTCGGCTCACTGAGGTGAATTGCGGGAGTCTGTTCAGACCAAAGGAGAGAAATTCGTTCAGACCACAAAAATTCGCTCGTTACGGTTTGATGGGCTCGCCTACAAAGTACGAGACACAGGTCGGGTCAGCTGCTGGCTCGGCTCGTCAGCCTGCCTCGCTGGCTCGTTATGCCTTGAAACACACAGGCTGGAATTGACCTATGCTCATGCCTAGTGTGCGACTGGGTGTTGGATACCTCGTAAGCGAGCCTAATCAATGGTGGCTCGGGTAGATGTGGGCACCATGTGTGGGCAGCTCAAGTAAACTCTAGTGCTTTGTTGAGTCTCAGTTCCAACCACTCTTGCGAGCCAGAAACCTGGACGTGAGTGGCGCTAATGGCGCCTCATTACGAAAGGAGTTTCTTGTGAAACTGAGGCAGTGGACTTCAGATCAGAATCAAACATTGACTACTCTTGCACAAAAACCCTTCCCGCGAGTCAGCCATGGCTCAAGGCAAAATGTGGACTGTCGAGTTGGCCAAAACGTGGACTGTAGAGTTGGGCAGAATGTGGACTGTCGAGTTGGCCAAAACGTGGACTGTCGAGTTGGGCAAAATGTGGATTGTCGAGTTGGCCAAAACGTGGACTGTCGAGTTGGCCAAAATGTGGACTGTCGAGTTGGCCAAAACGTGGACTGTCGAGTTGGCCAAAACGTGGACTGTCGAGTTGAGCAAAATGTGTCGAGTTGGGCGAGGGTCAACGTTGGCTCAACTCTACTCAACTCAACCGGGGGCCGACTCAACTCGCCTCATCCTCATGTGCAAGCAAACCCATCCAACCTTATCCACACCTAGAGCTGGCCATTGAATAATAATTGGGCTGTTCCATGTTAGAATCTCAGCCACTACACTGCTGGGATAAAATGGCTTGTTAAGTAGCAAATGAGTGCGCCCATAACCCCCCATGCAAGCGTGCTTGTAACCCTTCCATATGATCCCTAGTGCACGTCTTCTTACACCCATTCACTGAAATGTTCTAAGGCACGGCACAGCGGCAAGGACACATGGGGCGCCAACATGTGTGCACATGGGAACTCGAACTCGAGATTTTCGCTCTGATACCATGTCAGAATCTCAATCACTACACCATTGGGATAAGGGTCTGTAAAGTAGCGGGTGAGTGTGCCCATAATTCCCAAAGCAATCATGTCTGTAGCTCTTCTCTAGGATCAATCGGGGATCCCCAGTGCAGATATTTTGACAATCTACTCACCGACTATTTTGTCGACCACTTGCTGCAGGCACAAGTAGTCCCCCACTAGCACACTGGGCACATCCCCATCCACATGCCATGTGACTGAAAACGCACACACCCACATGCACACGCAGGAAAATCAGGCCAACATGAGAAACGCAAGCAGAAATAGGCGATCTGTGTGAAGTGATTAGAATTCTCACAGCAGCATTCAGAGATTAGAATGTGAAGACTCACAGGTCGCGTTAACATGAGCACAGAGCAGTGAATGATTGTGATTGTATCAGCTGAGTGGATCTTACTTCACCAACGGGATTACAACCTTCAGAACAAGGAGACATCGAAAGGAAGAAAACTCTTTGCTTGACGTTTTGAGACGGCTCTTTCTCGCAGGAAACTCAGGCCCCTCATGGGCACTCATGGCCACTCATCATGCCCACTCCTGCCCACTCGTAGTCACCCATGCACCTTATTGCCACGAACCTTCCATGCCAAAGATTGGGGTGCGCAGCTCAAGCGATGTGTTGGCGATGTGTTGGCGATGTGTGCACCCTTGTTGCGCTCCGCCACCTCCGCCTTCTCCTTCAGAATCGCCATAGAAATAGTCTTCTCGCGCAGCCTCCGCATGTTGATCGTCACGCTCACGCCAATGGCAGCCAGCAGTGCCGCCACCACAAGGATGATCACCCCCAGGAACACAGCAGTCATGCTGTGGGCTTCGTCCGAGCCCTGAAAGCTAGGGGTTAGGGGAGGCGAATTAGGGGCAATGGGAGCAGATGGAATTGATGTTGATTGAATAGGACGCATTCCATATCGAGTGCATTCCATATTGAGCATATTCCATATTGAGTGCATTCCATATTGAGTGCATTCCATACTGAGTGCCCTTATCGAGTGCATTCCATATCAAGTGCATTCCATTGGGTCTTGAAAGACTGGAAGTGCATTAGGTGCAACATGGGCAAAGAGTGGTTTTGATTCGCCTAAAGAAGCTCTGTGACGTAGGATTGACACGACGAGCCGTCATCAAAGGGAGACGGCGAGAAAGGGGAAGTTGAAGGGAGCGATTATAATGGAAGAGCAGCGCGTCCCTAGAAGCGACTCACTGGCACCGCCAGCGCTGGTAGCTCCGTGATGGATTGGTAGTTGTGAGGAGGGTTGTGAGCGGGAGGGTTGTGAGCGGGAGGGTTGTGAGCAGGAGGGTTGTGAGTGGGAGGGTTGTGAGCGGGAGGGTTGTGAGCGGGAGGGTTGTGAGCGAGAGGGTTTTGAGCGGGAGGGTTGTGAGCGGTAGGGTTGTGAGCGGTAGGGTTGTGAGCGGTAGGGTTGTGAGCGGTAGGGTTGTGAGCGGTAGGGTTGTGAGCGGTAGGGTTGTGAGGGGGAAGAGGAATCGCTGTGAGGTGAGAAGGGAGAGAAACAAGATTTACGGACTGGACAAGCATAGCACACCAGAAGACTTGCCATAGGGGAGCCGTTTGGGAGAAACGACAGTGTATGCCTGGAAGCAACTCACCGGCACCAGAGCTGGTATGTTCTTGGTATGTCGGTGAAATTGATCTGCTGCACTGACTTGTGGCGCTGCGGCTGCAACATGGTTTCGTTCAAGGGCGGAATGATCTTAGCCACTTGCAAGGGGTCGCCTTGAGGCACGTCCAAGCCCCCCACCCCGTACAGCAGGCGCGGACCATCCATGGGGTTGACGTCATAGACCTCAAGGGAACGCTCCACGACTGCAGTGCAGCAGCACGAGGGGCACGCTCTGCTTTGGTTAGCACAGCGCAACAAGCGTGTGACGGGAGCAGCACGCAGCGCAGGCAACCAGCATCTAGGCAACTTGCATGACATACAGCTCAATGAATGGAAATGCCATTCTTAAGCCATCCCTAAGTCGGTGGAAACGTGGACGCGAATGCACTAGGGGAACACAAGAAGGGAAGGTGGTGGGCGCCTTTGAATCTCATCAGTGAAAATTCTCGTGCCCTACTGAGTACTTCGTTGTGCGAAAACACTAACAGCCTAGTTCCTGAAACGGTACCAATCCCCCCCCCACAACATTACTGAAAAAATCAAGTCACGATTGGTGTTGGTAATTACTGCACAGCTTGCTCATTGTCACCACGGCCAATCGCACTGCACACCTTGTCGGAGCACTTCAAGAATGATAGATTCGGCGAGACGATCAAAGTCCACCGATACCGCCATGCCGCCCATGATCATTGCCTGCCTCTCTGCCCACGGCGCTGCTGCCGTCACGTTGCCCTTGAAGATCGGGAACATCATGGCTGGAGCATGAGAGGAGAAAGAGAGTCGACATGAGATGAAATGGACAACCAAATGGAAAGAGGTGAAATTGGGAGATGGGGAAGCGAGGGCGAGATAGAAACACAGAAAGCAACGAGAAAGCGCGAGGGACAGGAGCGAGAGAGGGATGCAGAGAACACCAAGGAGAGACACATGCCAACATGCTTGGGAAGAGGAGTGCCCACTCCTCATGCAGTCAATCATACGCCTCTGCACCCGCTCGCTCACCCATGCCGGGATGGCCATTGTTTAGAAAATAGGGCGTGGTGAGGATGGCTGCACCCGTGATCTTCATGCGCGTCAGCTCCGGCCCGTACGACGGGTGCAGGTGGCCATCGGAGCAAGTCGTGCTGTTCTCAACCAAGGGGAAGGGGCCCTGCTCGTCGAACCAGAAGCGCATGTCCATGTACCAGTCTGCGGGTGGGGCAGGCCTCTCCTGCATGTCCCCCGGTGTGCACCCCATTCGCCGCTCAAAAACTGCCCTGCATGACATGCCACGAAATGCCATGAAGGGAGGGGAAACATGCGGGAAACATGCGGGGAACTGCAAGTCGAAATTCCGCAGCTCTGCTTCGCACCGGATCCTGTTTTTAGTCGACCATTTCTCACTCAATGCGCTCGAGGTGGTCCAAACCAAGCCGAGGTTGTAACTCGAGGATTCTCAATGCCGATGAATGCTCAACGGGTTTGGATTGATGAGGGCTCAGGGGTCTGGCGCCGAACCAGGCAAACTACTGTAGTTCGAGCCGAACCTGATCTGGTTTGTCCAGCATGCCAAATATAGGACGCAGTTGGGTTCAAGGCGCAGTGGTATGATTGTATTGTTGTAAGCACACACGCACGCACGCACTCAACCTCTCACCTAAATAACGCAATGGTGGGGCAGTGAAATATCATTTGACGCTTCACCTCGCCCAGAAAGTGACGAAGCCGCTGCTCATGGTACGCATGGGCACTGGCCCGAGCCAATACCGCTGGTCATCACCTCGGCCCATCGATAGGTCGAGCAAAGCGATTCCACTTTGCCAACTTGTCACAAATCGACCCGCCGGCCGGTTCATCAACTCGCCTGTCAGTCAGAATCAACCAGGCAGCTTCCGGCTTGTCCGGATGCGGAAACGTATAGATTCGATTCGACCCAGATCCATCCAGCAGATCCAGCTTCCGGCTTGCGCGAATGCCAGATCCGCGTGAAACCGGCAGACAAAGACAAGCCGTACCGGCTCACCCCGGCTCAGGCGGCATGCCTTAATGGACGAGGCACAAGCCCGCCTTCTCACCAGCTCGGCTCATCGAGCCAAGTCTCTAGCTCGTATTATTCGTTGGGATATATCCCAGCATGCAGTCCGCAGCGACACATGCAAGGAAACACTCAAAACAAAGTCGGCGAGAGACGTGAACGGGGGACGGGAGCGAGGGAGGGCACGCGGGAGGCAAGAGGTGGCGCATGGGAAGAAGGTGACGGAAGTGTGAAGGCGAGAGTGAAGGCAGCAGCAGCAGCAGGTTTGAGGGCGGGGGGAGGGGGGGGAGGCGCACCTGTCAGAGCCGTTAACAAAGGCTCCGTAGGCAATGGCGTGCACCCAGGGGCGGGCGGCCTGCGTGCGGAGAATGTAGTTGGCAAAGAGCCGCTGAGTCAAGTTGTTGTGCGCCCCCCATGGGTCCTTTTGTATCCTCCCAAACACCATCACCAACCCCTCCACCGCCTGCACGCGTGTGTGGGTGGTTTGGGTTGGGTGGAGTGGGGTGGGGATGGATGGGTGGGTTATACTTGTGGAGATGAGCTGGGTGAGTGAGGAGCGGTGGTGGTGCAACGAGGCACGGAAGCATGTCACAGGGTGATGGTGGCAGAGGGTGATGGTGTCACAGGGGGCGCCTGATGCACGCATGGGAATGCATGGGGGGGCGCATGGGTTGACACATTAGGGGCTGCATGGTGGGGAGTATGTGAAGAATCATGGGGATGGAAATGGAGGAGCACGAGAAATGCACAACCACCTTCCCACCACCCCGATTGCCCCTTCCCTGGATCATTGTTAATCTAGTGATTTCCTTTTACCCACCCGACTCTTGAGTTGCGACGACGAAGGTTTTATACTGGAAAAACAACACATTTTTACGAGAGGTGTACATTAGTTGAAACGTTACTACAACTATCTGTCTTTATAGCTTTCTTGTTATCCTACCCCCGACAAACTAAAATCACCAAAAACAAATCCGCGCCATGAGTCGAAACCCATTTCGAGAATGACGGCAGAGATCACGTCATGCTTTCCAAGGCAGTGCGAGGAGAAAACGGTGGAAGGACGGGAACGCTGAGCGCGCGGGAGCAACCGCGGAGGGAACAAGGAAGCCAAGGGATGATTCTACTATTGCGCGGCGCGAAAATGAACCTCCGTCACTGACTACGCACCGAACGTGTGCAACGCAATGCAATGAAGCCAAAGCGACGCGACGCAGTGCAATGAAGCCGAAGCGACGCGACGCAATGCAATGAGCCGAAGCGACGCGACGCGATGCAATGAGCCAAAGCGACGCGACGCGATGCAATGAGCCGAAGCGACGCGACGCGATGCAATGAAGCCGAAGCGATGCGACGCGTTGCAATGAGCCGAAGCGACGCGACACGATGCAATGAAGCTGAAGCGACGCGATGTTATGCAATGCAGGTACCTACACGTGGTTGGCCACGGACATGAACTGCTAGGAATGTCACACGGCACACCATACCTTTCGCCTACTAGTAGTACTACACGTGCCAGATGGTCGTCGATCTACCGCGTGTCGACCGTCTGCTACCTTAAAGTGGTCGGACGTGAATATGAACTGCTGCTGCAGCGGGCGCGCGCGACCGGCGCACCAGGTGTCGAGCTCCGCCTTGCGATTGTCGTCGAAGCCCTTCTGCACCCTCCACGCCAACAGCCCCGCCAGCACGCCCGCAAGCCCCATCCACACCGCCACCTCCGCTGCCATACGCGCTATCATCTTCAAAACTTTTGCACACCACCGCTAGCCTCGTTCACTATTAGTGTTATGTGCTTTGCACAGGAGCCAAACACCAGATTGGTGTGTCCGACTCCTTCCGCGTACGGTGTGGAAAGTACCCTTCAGAAATGGAATCCTGGCGTGTCGATTCCATAACACTTGGCGCATCTTCATTCCCCTGTGGCGTCTCAGTTCGGTGCAGTTGGGTGCCGCATGTCTCTCCCAATCCAAGTGTTGCACCAGATCATCGCCATGGCTCTTTTTTATTATCGTCGCCCACAATGCTGGGCTAGGAGATATGACTGTACAGCATCCCCCAAGCTTTCCTATGATGCAGAAGGGACCACACGTGAGGAACCTGCCAAAACTGCCAGAAACCGTCCTTGCACGGTGGTACTACAATCGGTGCTCATTACGAGAACACCAGGTAGTCGAGCAGCATCGGACTGAAACGTGTTTTGGTGTTTCGTTGACCTTCTCTTGTGTCCCGACCAGCAAAAATAGGAATATATGGAAACTAAAAATGCTTCTGTAACTCAGTCAACAATTCTGACGATGAACGCGAGCAAACCTTGTTGTTTATGACTTGTAGATGTCGGCTTCCGCAAAAACGTTCACGCGTGATCATTGTACCTCATTCTTCTGCGATAAGGATGAGCATCGACTGTAGCGAATCTTGACGATTTGTACAAGATATATGTTCAAAATCGGAAAACAATTGAGCCAAGAGGAACGAAATAATCGAGCTGCTATACGTAAATATAATGTTAAAAGAAATACAAGCATAACAAATTAATAGTACCATATTCCCCAAAAAGGTTGGTTGCGTGGGATTTTATTTGTGTCACCTGGTTTAGTGCATTAAAAAAACCAACTTCATAGTTAATGCAACATATTTATGAATTTTTTTTTATTCACGCTTGTTGTTTTACTTTCAATTACGGTAGGAAAACGAGGTCCCATGCTCTGCGGCACTACAGGGTCTTGAATTGTTAAGATGGGACATTGATGGCTTTGCGGAAGCGTTTTAGGACCGTAGTGTAACTAGAATTGGACTCGTAGAGAGTTGTGTAAGACTGAGCGCATGCAAATGTGAAATAATCGAAGGTTGAATATGAGCACAATGTGTCAAACTATATACATATTTATTAGTTATATGCTGCAGTGGGGTAGCCCATATAGGGTTAGTACTTGTACAATTCCTTCCTCATGGTCAAACATTCTTTTGCCTATTATCTTAACATGGTATCAAAGGCTAGGTTAGGTCCAATTGCTGTACCTACTGACGTACCTACTGCCATACCTAGGTTAGGTCTGCCCCACGCTGCCCCTCGGGCGCTGCCTTTTGCATGCCTCACGCTGCCGCGCGCGCCCCTAGCTGTCCCGAACGCGCTGCCCTGCACGCGCCCTTCCCGCCGCCCTGCGCGTTGCCCTCCGCGCGCCCTTCCCGCTGCCCTGTGCGCCGCTGCTGCCCGTGCACCGCACGCTGCCCTGCCCTGTGCGCTCGCGCTGCGTCGTGCGCGTCGCGTTGCCCCCCGCGTTCGCCCTACCGCGCGCGAAGCCCTTCGCGCTTCCTCGCGTGCGCCACCACCGCTGCTCGCGTGCTGCCCCTGCCTCGTGCGCCGTTGCTGCCTGGCGTCGCCGCGCTGCTGCCCCATGTGCCACCGCTGCCCCGTGCGCCTCCGCTGCCCCGTGCGCCCTTGCTGCCTTGCACCATCGCGGCTCAGGCGCGGTCGCTGCCCCGCGCGCCGCCGCTGCCCCGTGTGCTGCTGCTTCCTGGCACCGCCGCTGCCCGTGCGTCGCTGCCGTGCACTGCTGCCCCGTGCGTCGCTGCTGCCTGGCACCACTGCTGCTTGGCGCCCCCCGCTGCTCGTTCGCCGCTGCCACGCCTCCGCTGCCCTATGCGCCGATGCTGCTTGACGCCGCTGCTGCCCCGTGCGCCGCCGCTGCCTGGCGCCGCCGCTGTCAGTGCACTACTGCAACCCGTCTGCCACACCACCGTCGTTGGTGCCCTTGTGCAGCTGCTGCCCTTGCACCGCCATTGCTGCCTGTGCGTTGCACCGTCGGAGGTGCCACCGAAGCGCCGCATCGTCACTCCTGCCGCCCGTGCGCGGCTACTACCCGTGTGCCGCACCACCGCCACTCCCGCCCTTGCGCCACTGTCGCTAAGCAATGCTGCCTATCATGGCGGCGCCTACCGTACTGACCTTTTACGCAGAGGGACGACCGATCGAATACGAGTCCTAGCTTCTAGACCTTCACTCGTACCTGCAGAGTGTTACCAAGGACGATGCCTCGCTTTTTTAGCACACGTCGGGGTCCCTATCTGCCCCATCTGAGTTGACTGACACCTGGCTCTACCGCTACTGAGGCTCTGCGGTAGCAGTTTAGGATTGATCGCATTGCCCATACACAGTGGTTAGCACGCGACGCCACTGTCCAACTTGCAGTCTGCTCTCACCTCCCGCCCGACCATAGGTCCCACTTTCGCCAGCTGAAAACGGACTCTAAGTGCAACTCCTCCTCCTCTTCTGCCACCCTAGGACTCCTTGCGCTGCCGTTTCTCTTCCCAAGCTGTCTGACTTCACCACTGTAGCCGATCTCATGACTCATCTGCGCTCCCTTGACACCTGCTAACGTGTTGCTCTTAATCCGGAGTTTCTGGCTGAAAACCAGCCCTCCATGTATCTCACTCTCTACCTCCTCACGACTCGCCTCCCTGACTCTCTTCGTGCCTTTCGAGACCACTTCCTCTTCCTAGACCCCACTGTGCTCACCCTTGCCTCGCTTGAGTCCCGTCTCCTTGAGGCCGAGACCAGTGCCTGCGCTGTAGCTGCCTCCTGTGGTACTCCCCGCCCCTCATTCTTTGAGGGGTTTGGGAGGTGTCGCGGCAAGGGTGCTCGTCCTAGGGGTTGGGGCGGTGGAGGTGGTGGAGGGGGCGATAACGGTAGCAGTGGCGGTGGTGGTGGCAGTGGCGGTGGCGGTGGTGGGGTTAGTGGAGATGGCGGTGGTGGTGGAGGTGGGGGGAGGTGGTGGAGGCGGTGAGGGTGATGGGGTTGGTGGAGGGGGCGCGGGGTGGCGGTCGGGGTGGAGCTGGCAAGGGTGGAGGCTAGTTCGGCTACCAGAGGAACTGCAACTGGTGAGGACGGAGGTTCTGGGGGTGGATAGCAGCAGCAATCACGTTGGCAGGAGACCCTCTCACCGCAGCCTCCATGAATGGGTTGCCTAGCGAGGCGGCCCCGGAGGCGGAGTACGTCCGACACACGGTTCCCCGCCCTGGAGAATTCTGCGGCAGGCTGGGGCACACTGAGGATCGGTGCTTCTACCGCCTCGACAACGCCTTTCACGCGGAGTTTGGTGAGCAGGCCAAGATTCGTGACTGGTTAGGATTGCTCAAGAAGGGCGTAGATGTATATTTTCTTGATTGGGACCAAATGTCTGGTGGCATGTATGCTATGTATGCTGCCAGTGCCAGTGCTGAGGGTGACTATTGTTCTTGTGTGCGTAGATCTGGTAGTGTAGAGGCTGCTAGAGTAGGTGCTTGTGAGACTATTAACACAGGTGCAGTTCCTACGAAGACTTAGCTCACCTTCACATTGGACTCCGGCGTATCTTGGTGCTTCTTCCGCGATTGCATCAAAGTCACCCTGCTCCCGGCACCCGTCCCTGTCACCGTGGCCGACCCCTCCTTTTGCTCGATCATTTCACGCGGGTCCACTGTTCTCCCATGTCCGGCGGCCCCCTCTGGCTCCCTCACGGGTCTCCACCTCCTCTCGATCGCTACGAACTTGGTGAGAGAATATGATGGTCACCACCACCACACCTGGGGGCGAGCGTGTGGCGATTTGTACTGACACGGAGACTAGAGACCATCTTGCCACTTATACACGTAGGCCTGGGACTGGACTAAACACACTGCACACTAAGTCTGCTTAGGTAGCTGCGCCTTGCTCGTGTCAGTTGCTCACGCACCCGTCCCTCCTCTGGCACTACCATCTTGGTCACCCCTCCCTGTAGCATATACGCGCATGCACTTGTGTCTCCTTGTCTCTGGCGTCCCGCGGTCCCTGCCCCCGCTCCCGCTAATCGCGGCCCAAATCACGTCGGTACCCCCCCCCCCCCCCCCCCTCCCCCCCCCCCCCCCCCCCCATCTTCTCCCTCCGGAAATCGCATCAGGGTGGTACCCGAGAGTAGTCTTTATCATCAGGGCGAGTGCATAAGGCCTGTCTGAAGTATCATTGTAAAAAAAATAATCATATTTTCTTTTTCCGTTTAAGGGCGCCTCATAAAACAACTCTGTAAAACAAGGGTGAACACCTATACCTCCCCTTATAGTAAGGCCATAAGGGTGTTTCACCCTTATATTCAGAGGCATGCAAGCTACCGTTTGCATGTTTGCCTATACCGTATATTGCTCGCTCATGCCTTTGCTCACGCTCTTGAAGAGAGTCAGACTCCGGGTCAGCAAGGACAGGAAGAGAGGACTCAGGAGGAGACGGCAGAGGGACACGCTGCGGAGAAGTGGAAGGACGCAGAGTCATAAAGTGTGTGCCAGGCACAGGTGGAGGACGCTCACGCTGACCATGGCGACCAGTGCGAGCAGCACGAACAGGTGACACAGGACGCGACACAGGCGACACAGGACGAGACTCAGGCTCACGACGCTCTGTAAGACCGCCTGTCGGACCAGTGTAGGGAGAAGGACCAGGAAGTGGCGAGGCAGGTGGGAGCTGGGACTGCGACTGGACAGGCGGAGGACACTCTAAGGAGGGAGGAGGACTAGGAGGAGGCGGCTGACCAAGAACCTGCTGAAGGAGCGGAACGAAGTACGGCCACGGCCGTGAAGCGCCCCCAGAAGCAGCAGAGACAGCACCAGAACCTCCAGCCGAACCAGCACCAGCAGCACCTCCAGCAGCTCCAGAGCCTCCACCAGCACCGGCAGCACCTCCAGCAGCTCCAGAACCTCCAGCAGCACCAGCAGCACCTCCAGCCACTCCAGG